GTGAAACAAGGTCTTTTTCTGTTGGTCTACATCTTTTCACTAAGCGCACCAAGCTAAGCTTGCCAAAGTTCAGTGATACCTAATTGGACCATTCTACTAGATTCTACTCAGTTACCAGTTCTATGTCTTTTAAAAGCAGTTCACTAATTCTTCTGGGTATAAGAATCACTGGGGATTCACTTATGAATGAGTAATATTAGACACAAAGCAAAGAATAACCAGGCTACAATCCACAACCCAAGAGAAGCTAGGTTAAGAGGGACACACATGAATCACCCCAGGAAGGGGAAAAGGTTAAGATCTCCTGGGTAAACTGGGAGGGAGGAGCATGAGGGCTCGAGATGGCCAAGGTCGGGGAGAGACAGGGAGGGAGAGCAATGAAAGAGATATCTTGACAGAGTGTACCATTAAGGAAATGGGAAGAAATCTGCAGCTAGGGAAACTCCGGGAACTCATAAGATTGTCCCCAGGTAAGACTCAGCGGTGGAGAGGGTGCTTGAACTAACCTTCGCCTGAACTCAGATTGGTGTCTACCCTAGTTGCCATCATAGACCCTACATCCAGTGTCTGATGGAAGCAGATGCAGAGACCTACAGCCAAGCACTTGGCCAAGATCCTGGAGTTCAGTTGAAGAGAGGGAGGAAGGATTATAGGAGCAAGGGGGTCAGGATCATGATAGAAAAAACCACAGAGATAGCTGACCCAAGCTAGTGGGAGCTCATAGACTCTGGACTGACAGCTGGGGAACCTGCATGGGACCACACTAGGCCCTCTGAATGTGTGTGAAAGTTGTGTGACTTGAGTGTTTGTGGGTCCCCTGGCAATGGGACCAGGACTTATCTCAGGTACACAAACTGGCTTTTTAGAGCCCATGCCCTATGGTGTGATGCCTTACTCAGCCTTGATACAGGATGGAGGGGCTAGGTCTGTCCCCAACATGGTATGCCAGCCTGGGTTGACTATCGAAGGAGGCCTTACCCTCTATGAGGAGTGGATGAGGGTGGGATGGGAGTAGGTGGGGTGGAGCAGGAGAAGGGGAGGGAGGGGGAATGGGGATTGGTATGTACAAGGAAAGAAAAAAAAATAATTAAAAACAAATAAATGCATGCCCCTGTTAAAGTTCAACTAATAAATTATGCAAAGTCAGAGATTAACAACAAAAATAAAATGGAGCAATTATAACAATGTACTGTAATAAAATTACCAGAATCATTTAAAAAAAAAAAAAGAATTACTGGGGAGCTTGCCTAAAATATACCTGTCCTGACCCCAGCCCCTAGGGAACAAATGCAGTAGATTCTGGGTGGAATCTGTCCCATTTCTTAACAATCTCCCACGGTGATTTTGCTGGATAATGCAAGCCCACTTTGCAAAGTTTTGTCTCACTGTCTCGTTGTACCAGGTTAATTTCTTTCTCTATGGCTTTCCATCTTGAGTGTTGTTTCTTGTATATCAGCAGAGTGTGAATCACCTGGGAACCTAAATATAGATCTCCTAGCCCCACCTCAGACCTTGTGAATCAGAACTTCCACCATGAGTCCTAGGAATCTATTTAAAAAAAAAAAAAAAAAAAAAAAAAACTGCCCCTGGTCCCCCTGCTGCAGGCAGGCAGTCTTCTGCTGGCCTTTGAGAATCCCATCTGTTCTTACAGACTCCATGAGGAGGTCCTAACTCAAGAGCAAGTGGGTGTTTTCTTTGTCATTTTAAACCCGTCCCTTCATCTGTCCCACAATGTTCGAGACTGCTGCTCTATAACTCAAGTCACTGTAGGATGAACTCCGAGGGTAGTCACAGTTGCCAGGTGCCTTTGCAGCCTGAATGTTGGCCACTGTTACATGGACATCTTAAACCTGTGTGTTCTCTGATTGGAGGCAATAATTGTGGCATGGCTGCCTATCTTGTTTTGGTGGGGATGCCTCTGTCATCCAGATTTCTGTCCAGGAATTTAATGTTCCCCAGGTCAGAGCAGACAACATGGCATACTGTCCTTCCTCATTGTGTTTGTCCAGTTCTCCAGATCAACCTTCCCCTTGGATCCACAGAAGGGGGCATGCTTGGACTGGCTTCAAGCTTCAAGTGTATTCACTGGTCTCCAGAGAGATAGTGGAAGGCCTGACCCCTTTGCCCTGGGGCATACCTGGGCTACACAAGTTACTGAAGGCAAGGTATCCCCTTAGGTTAGACTTCTGGGGTCAATAGCCTTGTTCCAGTTCTGTTTTAGTACTTTCTCAGGTAGACCTCTTTAAACCAGAACCCTTAAAATATTACCAAAAATTGAAACAAAATGAAGTGGTAGGAATTGGTCAAATGGTTAAGAACAGAGTATGCCAAGAAATGATATTCACAGAACTTTATCCTTGGCCTAGACGGACAGCAAGCTTCCAGGTTATAAAGAATAGCCACCTCCTGGTTAGTCTACTTCCTGAGTACCTGACCTCCATAGCATGCTTATTGTGGACTTAAGAGTTAAATGCTAGGCCAGGTGGTGGTGGTGCACACCTTTGATCCCAGAACTTGGGAGGCAGAGCCAGAAAGATCTCTGTGAGTTCAAGGCCAGCCTGGTCTACAGAGTGAGATCAAGGACAGGCACCAAAACTATACAGAAAACCCTGTCTCAAAAACAAACAAACAAACAAAAACAAAACAAAACAGAGTTAAATGCTAGCCACTTTGAAGATGGTAGATTTGTTTGTGTTCTTGAAGAAGGTCAGCTCATTTCTCACATGAAATCTAAAGTAGTGGTATCATCCCTGTGTGTCCCTACTAGTGTGCTCCATGTATTTACATTTAGGAGTTTTGTCTCTGGATAAGCGGCAGGTTTTATTTTTATGCCAGATAAGAAAATCGGTAATCAGGGGAAAATCCCTTTGGGGAACCCTATTTCCAGGTGATAGCTGCTGCTTTAGGATTTTTGAGGTGAGGTGGGGGCATAGCACTAGAGACCATGAGCTGTGATTTGGTAACAAAGGGATGTGAACTGACCCTAGAAATGCATGAACAAGAGACATCTAATGAGTCCTGACAGTTCAAGGACTGAAGCAGACTAATCTTTTTTTTTTCCTGCCCACCCAGTCTTCATACAAATGTAAATATGTCTCTTTCAACAAGTTGCTGAATGTGGTTTTAATTTATAAGCTAGAGACCAGACTTGCTGAATGTCCCCTCAGGAGTGTGTGTGTGTGTCTGTCTGTGTGTCTGTATCTGTGTGCTCTCTCTCTGTCTATCTCCCCCCTTCCTCACCCCATCTCATCCCTTCTTCCCTCCCCCTCCTTTTCTGCCCCTTTCTTTTTTGAATTTTGCAGGTTTTATACTTTTTGAACTGGACATTTCCCCCTGTCACTTTTCTTCCAGAGACATCCCTGACCCCGTTGTCAGAGGGCTTTAAGACAAGAATAGACTGCTGTATTTCTTAAAGACGTTTTTGAAGTTCTCGGAGGAAAAACATGTGGTTTTAAAACATAACTAAGTCCGTGGCTGAATCCACGCTGAGATTGAGATTTGAAGAGCTTGTCACTGTCACCGTATCATACTTTATACAGTGTGTGCAGAGCCCATTGTTGTTATTTATGACCCTGTCTGCCTTCCATTGTGGACTTCTTCCAGCCTTGGGGAATTTACATCATTCCTAATAGCAAAAGGCTTTCTGGTTCCCACAGAGTTGTTCAAAGCCTGACTCATGCTCCTTACGTTAATTGTTCAGCTCTGAAAATACAGCACTTACAGGGTGTGGCTGTGAGGGGAAAATCAACTGTATTTACAGGGCATGCAGGACATGTTTAGAAGTGTTTCACACATAAATCTCCATCGCTCCCAATCTCTCTCAGCCTACCCTCTTTTGCTTCCCCCCTCTGATTTAACTTGAAGTATTCCTTTTCCAAAAATTAATTTTAGAGAACAACAAACTAAAAGAATGACACATTACAATGCCATATAACCAAGAATAGCCAGTTATACTATGTTGACTGACAATTAAAACCAATTCAGGTTACAAATGGACATGTCTTTGAAAGAGCTTGGCCCAGGTCAGAAGCATAGGCATGGGCCAGAGCTCAAGAACCCTCCTGACTTAGTGTTGTGCGCACCGATTAGATCAAGCTGTCAGAGATGCCGTGGAATCTACTAGTGGCTCAAGCACTAGCACTGTTCAGTCCTGAGCAAGCCTACATAAAACAAAGACCTACGGATAGGTACCAAACTTCCACGTGGTCACAGCATTTTATAGGAATCTGGTGGGGAAGAATACCTGGTATCCCAGGAAACAAGAACAGATAACACCTTATCTAGACTATCAGCTTCCAACCTAAGGGAAGAAATTCCAAAAACATGACATGGGTCAGCTCTGGCAAAGGTTGGCAGAATTTTAAATTTTGTAATTATCTCTTTATGAAGCTTTGTGGGTATATTTTTTAAAGGTAGATAATTTGTGTATAAAATCATGGTGATGACTACTATAAGAAGACAGAGACTCCAGGGTTTTTGGTTATTGTTCATTTGTTGTTTTTTTTTGTTTGTTTGTTTTGTTTTTTTTTAGTAACCAAGATTGGAAAACTCCATTTTTTAAAATACCAATATTGAAAGGTTTAATGATACTGTTTTAAGGCTAATAAAGACTATATTGTTAAAGTTAAGGGGAATGTGGAGGAAATCTCAGAAGTCTCAGGATACTGGCTACTGTCTTCTCATAAGCATGTGCTGCTGGCTCAGGGATTCTGCCCTTTGGAGCCACAGAGAGACCAGGTATTGTTCTAGATAGCTTGGGATCCGAATGTTTCACATCATGGATTTGTATGTTTGTGGTCTATACTAATGCATGAATTGTGTAGAGAAGAATACAAAACCAGTGTGACACCAGAAAATCCCAACTGAAAGCAGTTGAAAGGGCCTAAAATAGTAGTCTGTTTTACCTAGGATTGACAGAAGTAAAGCATTCCTCCTGTAACTGTTTTCTCTGGTGTTCAGCTGACAGACTCCTGTTTAACCTTTGTTATCTTTTGGAGTAGACAAAAAGAACCGTCCACGGAGTATCTGACTATTTTGCTGAGTGTGCAGAGAGTTCGCCTTCTCCTGGTACAAAGCTCAAGAGAAATGCTCTACAAGAACTGTAAGTCCAGCATGTCTCCTTTTCTCATTCTCTGACTGCCTGTGTAGACACCAGAAGTCTCTAACTTAATGAGAGTGTATGGAACCTAATCAAGAAGCCCCTCTGCCATTGGTCTGGCCCACAGCCATATATTAATACATGTCCTTCCCACCTTCCTGTTGCTCTTGTTTTCTGGACAGTGGGAATAGACTCCTTGCTTCACAGGTGTGTGTGTCGCAAGGAGTGATTAATTACAAGCTCTTTGAAGATGAAAAGCACCTGCTGCTGGTGTGTTTCACACAGCTCTTGAGGTAACTGCAGACAGACCTAAAAACTACATTCCCTTTGTGAGATGCTTGCTGACTTTCGTGTAATTATGGCAGTCCTTGGGCCCCTTACTGCAACATATTTATGGGTTTTTTTCCACAAAGCTTAGCCAAAGTAAATAATCCAGCTTCAATGCTTAAATTTAGTGGCTGAAGAAGTTTCTTGCTCTTTGTAAATGTACTGTTGTCAACTCCTTGCCAAAATTAAGGGCTTTAGTCTCTCAATTTCCTATGAAGTTTCTGTCCTGCCCTGGAAGTTTGTTTTGTAGTTAAAGTTTGTCTTGTCTATTATGTATCCTGTAGAAGAGGGAGATAGGGAGATAGATGATAGATAGATAGATAGATAGATAGATAGATAGATAGATAGATAGATAGATAGATAGATATGGGATAGTTAGATAATATATAAATAATAAATAAGTAGATTGATGATAGTTAGATGATAGATAGATGATAGATAGATCGATAGATAGATAGATGATAGATAGATAGATAGATAATAGACAGATCCATAATAGATATATACATAAATAGATGATAGACAGACAGACAGATCTATAGATAGACAGATCGGGTAGATATACTGCTTGTCGTGGTTGTACTTTATTTAATGTTAGTTTTCTGAATATTTTCCTGGACTGACCAAGTCCATTTAACTGAGGCTTATTCCCATATGGTTGATGAATAAACCTGACACCTTCTGAGAAATACCTTAAAATGTCATGTCATGAGGGAATTTTCAGGTTAGTATTTACTCACAAATATAAACTGTGTGTGTGCATATTTGTGAATATGTGTGGATGTGCACACACATCCAGTGCTTTGAATGTTATCTAAGCATTCCCTGTTAGTAAAAGTCAGTATATCAACCCCAGGGAGTATTTGCTTCTGACATCTGAAAATGCATACCTGTTTGCTTTAGTTAAAATGATTCCATTTTAAAGTGATTCCATCATGATTCCTTTGATGAACCAGCAATGAAAACTTAGAACATACCCTAGTTTAGTGGAAAATGTGGAGGTTATTACTTAATCCAATCTATATTCAACATACACTTTGGGGATTTCCTAGATATGCTGGGGTATTGAGAATCCGGCTGGCACCTGCCTTGTTCTCAGGTGTAACAACCAAGGGGTACAGGTTTGGAGGAATTCATGTCATTGTGAATCTCACATGCCATACAGTCATTATTGTCCCTTTTAGTGTGAGAAGAACTGAAGCAAAAAGCAGTGCTGGGAGCAAATCACAGAGCAGCAAGGACCCTGTTGGAAGATCTAGTGACTCAGTCATTACCGTGGTACCAAGGAGGAGGGATGCCTCAGCCGTTCTCCCGTCAGAATCCATGGGTCAAGCACAGGATGACATAAAAGCAGCCAAGAGCCACCGGGGGCTTCCTGTTCAAGAGCTGGAAAATGTTTCTCAGATTCAGCCAGAAGACACTAGCAGCCGGCAACAACCTCATCCCGGGGAGTGGTTAAAGTCGGGGCTTCTAAGCAGGAGCCCTCTGTGTAGCTATGAGTCAGCACCACCAGGTCCAAAGCAAAGTCCACGAGCAGCCAAGACACAACAGAAAGGCAGGAACTGTGGCTCTGCCGAAGACTCTGACCACCGCAGGAGAGTTTCTCTTGGAAGTGATGGGTTCGTCCCAGGAGACGTGCTGGTGGAGAAGAGCACAGCTGTCGGTGTTTTGCCAGCGTTAGAGCTGTCAGATCCAGGGCTGCTTTTGAATCAAGATCTGGCAGAAGCCACAGCTCAAGACAAGCTGCATGCTTTGGAAAATCTCTCCTCCAGACACCTCATGACAAACAGCCCAGGGCAGGCGCAGCAAACGGTCTCAGCTGCAACTGATGAAAGATTAGCTACAGTTCAAGGAGGCCCGAGCAAAAAGAGAAAGAAATTGCAAAGTTCTAGCAGAGGATGTAGTGGCAAGAAAAGCTTGAGTGTCTAGTTCCTGGGATTTGAAAAGAATTGGGGTAATTACTTTAAATAAACACATATTTAGAGGCTAGATGGATGTCTCATCTTTTAAGAGCATTTGTGGTTCCTGCAGAGGACCCAGGTTGGGTTTCAAGGATCCACAAGGTGACTCACAACCATCAGGAACCCCAGATCCCGGAGACACAACACCCACTTTTGGCCCCCATGGGCACCAGGCTTGCACATGGTATGTATACATACAAGCAGGCAAAACACACATACACATGAAACAAGTCTTTTTAAAAAACTGTTTGTGTTGGGATTAGACTTCACAGTCACCTCCTAGAGGCTGTTTTTCTAATAAGCTTGTTACTTTCTCATCATGTTTATAACTGTCTCCAGAAAATATTGTATTGACAGATAGTCACCTGTCAAGGAGAAAAACATGTATATAGGACCCCATGGAGCAGTCAGTAATGTTGAGCATTCTCACCCCATCACTGTGAAGAACTCCTGATAGAATACAGAGGGACAGTGCCGTGTGCTGCAGGCCCCCTGCTCCTCAAACTGCGTACCTGACAGTGAGAATACATTTGTGGTTCTCAGTATGTGGTTCTGTGCAAAATGCAAGTATTGGAGTTTGAGAGGAGCTGTGATTCTGAAATAACACTAACGTTGAAGATGATTCCCTCGGAATTATTTCCTCCAGACTGGCTACCATGGCTTCCATCAACCGGGGCCACCCGTGGACATGTACACCCCTGTGCTCCCTTGGACTTGTGAACCATTTAGATTGGGTTTGGTGTGTGTGTCACTTAGTTCCCAGGTTCTCCTATAGGATGGACACAGCACCTAGGGAGCTGTGAGAGCTGTCATTGCCAGAAATGTACATCTCAGCCTTAGGCGAAGACATGGGAGAGGTGTGTTCTGTGTGGTCCAGGCCTGCCCTTGTCCGTGTTCATGCCTCCAGTATTGCAGTTACAGTTAGGACAGACCAGAACCCAAAGGGAGCTCAGTGCCCATTCCAGTTCCCAATTTGGAAAAATTCAGAGGGCATTAAAATATTCTCTTTGGTTGTATAGCCTGCTCTCAAGAAAGACAAGAAGCCCTAAGTTGTCAACCTGGAAGCTTCATCTGACCATGCCAGCCTCAAAGGACCAGAAACTGCTTGCTGGTGTTCCTTTCCTTTCCCCCAGCTTTTTTCTTGAGAGCCGATTTCCAGCAGTTTGAATCCTCAGTGGAAGCATGAGCAGCCCCCATTATGTACCAAGAAGCAGATCACTCAGAAAGATCCTAAAGTCAAAGCCAGTCTTATGAGATAATGGGTGCTTCCCACTCCAGAATCAAGATATTCTGACCTGGAATAAACAGGGTTTTAATTGTTTAATGATTAAGGTCATACTCAGCACTTATTTGTACTTAAATGAAAGATTTGCTTTCAAGAAATGTTTTGTTTTTCAAATCTGTTCTGTTGTAAGAAATAATGATTATTGTGACTGGGGAGAAAAAAAATAGTATATTTGGGTTGTACATAGATGTGGTCTTTTTCACAGCCTTCATGCACAATGGATTTTAACAGGATTAGCAGGGAATGGCTCTGGGCTCCCACACTGTGGCATATGTTTAAGGAATTTTGCCTTTAAGCATTTTTCTTCAGTGTATCTGAAACACATATGCATCTCTTGTTTCTTGAGTGGTTTTACAATTCTTTATGAGTATATGTACAAATGGAAAAGTAATCCCAAGTGTTTTGTTACTTATCAGGTGGGGTATTAAATATTTTCTACTGTTGGGAATGATATGAGTTTTTATATTCTTAACAATTGTAATAATTTGGCATTTGAAAGTCTGAGACCCTGTCAGTGTTGATAGTCAAAAACAAGTTCTTTAATCCCTTGATACTTCAAAATAAATTTATATTCAGGTCCCTGTGATTCTGACACTTAAAGGAGATGTCCATCCAATTCTATTGATGTTATTATAACTAAAGAACTTTCTCAGTATCTGGGATTCTAAGCCACCTCTATGTACTTTCAAATGACATTCTAATAAATGACAGTTGGTTAGGTCTTTTTGTCTTTTTCTTTTTTTCCTCACGGGACGGGGGGCATTTAAAATCCTGTGGGAAAGGCTGGGCCCGGTTCTATCCTAGCACTTGGAAGGCAGGCAGATCACTGAGTTCAAGGCCAGCCTCATCTACATAGTAAGTTCCTGGAAAGCCAGAACTACATAGTGAGACCCTATCTCAAAAGAAACAAACAGACAAACAAAGTGTGGAAATAATCTGATATTTTTCTTGCACAATTGCTTCTATTTGCCACTGGAGGTTAACTCACCCAGATAGGCATATGACTCGTTAAGTGTAAAGGGTCACTTGGCACTGGGAATAGAGGAATGGCTACAGGGTTTTGCTCCCTTGTTGCATGCTAAAGAAATATGGAAATGCATTTCCTTCTTTAAAAAACAAGACTCATGGGCTCTTAATGAAGTGGGTGCTTTGCATGTGTAGGACTCTGGATTTGATCCCTAAGATACAAATAAGAAGGAAAAAGTCACAAAAAAATATGTAGTTTGATTCCTGGAGAATGTAGTTTATCTCTGGATGAACGTTCTCAAATTGTATCTTGGAGATGATGATGGGGTCTCAGTATAACTGTTTTGCGTTTTAGGGCCTATTTGGATTCCAGCAGAGATTGTGCCTTTGGCTTCAGAAAGAGCCCAGTTGGGGCAGACACATAGGGAAGGAAACTTCTATGCCCAAGAGAATGGCCTAGGATC